CTCTTTAGTGCAACCTGTGGAGTCAGGAGGACAGTTAAGAAAATCCTCCAGTCAAAACCATTCATGCAGCATAACTGTCTAGTGCCATGTGTGATGCATCCACAAACGGCAAACACAACTGGTCCTAAGGGACCTGCCAGCTTTGTTGAACAGCATTTGGAAGCCAAGGAGGACACACTAGGGCCTCACAAGAGGAAAAAGGTGTAATGTTTAGACAACTGACTCACAACCCTCACAGCAGCTGCTCAACTAAGTTGTTGGGGCTGTGCCAGGAGCCATGAGTGACCCCAGCGCAGGCCATGCCCTCACTGACAGGTGCCATCCTGCAAGGTCTGGGGCAGAGCCAGCGGCTGGTAAGAGGCTTCACTGACACCCCCCCGACCTATCAAGGGTTTAAATCAGGTCTAAGGTCTGTCTGGGAGATCCAGATGGGAGCAGCAGGAGATCCAGCTGAAGCACAGATTCCCTAGGCATGGGGACCAGCCTAAGACATGGCTTAGGGAGGGACTGCGTGCCCAGGGCTTAGCTAAAATAGGACTCCTAGGCCTATGTGCAGGGTTAGGGGTCCCAGATGGGGCTGATCAGAGCCACTGAGGCTCCCAGAGAACTGTCAGGTTTCTGTCTTGGCCCTCCAGATCACACTGCCCAGTTCTCCATAAGCATCTAGAAAGATCCAACTCAGACACCTATGTTCAGGTGTCATAATCTGGAACTGGATTACTCACCAGGGACAAAGTTCAGCTGCCAAAACACATGTGGCTGTTGCTGCTGGAGATGCCATGGGATGCTCAAGAGGACCACAGAGCCAGCAGGTATGATACAGGACTGTGGCCAAAGGCACATGCCTCTGTCTGAGGCAACAGCTGGGGGCCAGGTGGGACACCGTGAAGCACATCTGGTGCCTATGTGTAGGTGGTGAATCTCACCTAGAGTATCTTAAGTCATGAATATATGTTAAGAAAACATTGGCACGTTTGATGCAAAAAGAGCACTTCAATAAATGCTGTCTCACACAACAACTTTAAGACAGTGTTGTGTCATAGCTGTAAGGCAGGTAAGTGTGTTTGCATGAATTGAAGACCTGGCCAGGATAAATCCTTCTAGGACCCCTAACAATTACACCCAGGGAGCAGCTCTTACTGCGAGGCACACATAAGTAAAAACAGTCCACAGACACAGGTTCTTCTTGCTCAACCACAGAAAAATTAAAAAAAAAAAAGCTCTTCGTTTTCACCCAATTCTATAAACTAGCAACAACGGCACTTGACATCTTGCTTTATTCTGACGTCATGGGCAGTTGCTTTTGTAGTAGCAACTGCTATATCTCTGTGTGTACATATACAATACATAACATCAATGGTTTTAAAAACTAAAATATATTGTAACTGTAGTCTGCAAAATAAAAGAATACTCATAACTACATATGAAAAAATAATGAGGTAAATATGGACAGACATGAAACAGAATGTTGATCTCTTACAAAAATGAAGCATGTACTGTGAGTCAATAAAATATATTTGGGGATAAGGGAGTTGCTACTTTACTGCCTGTCAAAAAAGAATGTGTAAGATGCAGTTGTTTGAACAACAGAACAGAAATGAAATTTCAGGTAAATCCCTGATGGACTTGATATTTTCAGAGTCGAAAGAAATATGCAGGAATTATCTTTTTTTTTTTCCCCCTCTGAACTTCAGGGTTGATTAAGAGGCTGAGCACATCCACAATTAGCTGTGCAGAGAGAAAAGGTTAAGCTTCAAGAAATCTGTTGCAATACACTGAAAATCTGTGTCATACTGTGTCATATGAGTTACATATGTTTTGTTTATTCCACAACTTTTGGTTTAGAGTGGCAATTTTCAGTTTTCAACTTAAGTGGAAGGGCAGAACTTTGTAGAGTAGGGCTGATGGTTGAACACGATGATCCCAAGGGTCTTTTCCAACCTGAGTGATTCTGTGAATAACAGCTGTATTCACTGTTAAAAATCAAAATGGTTTTACTGTTGGTTTCAGCTGAAGCAGCTTACTGCTTTTCATGGGGGAAGTCCTGATGCCCTGCAAAGCCACCATGCTCTGTTCTCTCCAGATTCAGTTTCTCCATGGTGTTTCATCTGGGTAATTCAACTCTGGGCTGTCAAGTCCGGAAGGGGCTCTTATCCAGTGGTATTCAGAAAGATACGGGAATGACCACTGGGGAGTCTAAATGAGCTTTTCCTACAGATAGATCTGCCGGACATATCCTTACACATCACATAGCCTTCTGCTGAGTTTCATAGATACTCACAATCCAATCTGCTATTAAGCATGTTAAGATTTCAGTTTTGCAGTTAGCTGTTTCCTGGGTAATGAGCACTATGCACTTTCTCTCCTTTCCATGAGCTGAACTGGAAGTCTTAATTTATTATCTTTGGCAAGTATTAATAAAAAGATCATTCTATACTTAAGACCAGTTGACCTTCCAAGTGCTGCAGCCTCAATAAGGTAGTGAAACAAGAAAACCAGACCATTTTCACAGTTTTCAGCTTACCAGGATCCCTAAAGCCCACATGGCACCAGCTGCTACAAACAATTTACAAAGAGACACAGAACTAAAGTGGCAGTCTTCCTCAAAACCAAATGTAGGTAGGTGAGATGGCCAGGGAACAGCCAAATTACTGCTAAATGAGATTGCAAGAAACAAAGTATTTGGACCTTCTCTCAAACTGCCTCTGCCATAGAAAGGCCTTGTTAGGTCAGCAACAACCACTGAGACAATAATCCTGGAGGGAACTGCAAAAGACAGGACAGCCTCTACCAGGGGCGGTTCTGCTTGCAAGCCACCTGAATGGCCTACATCAACAGTTTGGTGGACCTCAAGCACAAGGATCAATCATCCATTCTGCCTTTTTTATTCTTCAATATCTAGAATTTAATTTTTCTTTTTCGAAAGGCTCTAGAGTTGCAGAGATAACCTTGAAAGCAGCACTGAATGATAAACCAAGAAGAAATGGCTGCCTGAGTTCACAGGAAACAGCAGTTCTGCAAGGTATTAATCAGTAACAGTAATAATTCAGGTGCACATTGTAATGCTTTGCATCTTTACATTGCTATTAAGCTGTAGATCAAAGCAGGGACAAAACTAATTTCTATGCTTCTTATTGGTGAACATGGCAGAAACAATGCTTTTGCAGCATTTTTCCCCCTGGTATTTAAAGAATGGAGCACAACAGAACTCTAAGAGCAAGCCCAGCAGAGCAGAGTAAGCACGTGTGATTAATGTACAAACATTCTTACTCATGTGGTCTGCCAGTGGACCTAGCCTAATCTGCACGTGCCCCTCCAGAGAGCTGTAGTAGTTCCCTCTGCACTCCTCTGTACTCAATTTCTCCCCTGGCCCCAAGTCACATTTGCATCCGGATTTAGCATCATGCAGTTCCTGCAGAGTCCTCGACTATTTATTACTGCCTCTGTACATCAAAGGAGGAGGAAATAAACAGAAAGCAATGCTAAGATCCTCCTTAGCCCTTAGCCAGTCTTTCAGCTGAAAATCATCATCACAGAAAATTCTTGGTAAAGAACAGAAAAAACAAACACTTGAGACATAATTTTGCTTTAAAAGATTTTTTTTCCCTCTTTCATCTCTTTTTTTAATTTCACTCAGAATTTTTAGCTACAAAAAGAGCCCACAAAACTCTGTTTCTTCATGGGGATGCTCCAGCTGCTCCTTCTGCACCCAGTAAAAACCTTACAGATGCTCCATTGATATCCCAGCATACTTGGAAAAGAAGAAAGGGAAGAAAAGGGAAAATACAACATCTCTGTAGGGTTTCAAAGCTTCTGAGTGCTTCTTCAGGCCCATTAAATCCCACCATCTTTGAGGGAGGAACCACCCTCTTCAGAGATACAGATTCTATTACTTCCCATCATTTTCACCTCTGGGGAAGAGTGAAGATCTATGCAACAGCCCAGTGGCTCCTGAAACCTCCCTCCATTCTACACTGAGAGAGGAAAATAAAGGCTAAGTGACCATAAGATGCAAAAGAGTTAATAAGCATCCCAGCAGTCAGGATGCAGGGTTTGTGTTTACATGGAAAGGACAGAAGTGCATGTGACAGATAGGACTGACTCAGGGCAGAAATTGCAAACACTGACAGGAGCCAATTTTTACATCGTGTAAGATGTGTGGGAGTAGTTCTCTCACCCTCCAGTGCCTTTCTATATGAGCTCTAAATGATAGCTCACAAAGGCGACAGATACCTCAGTTCATACTTACATAATAAGACTATTTTCTTGGTAGTGTTAATGCAGCTCATGGTAGGCTTTAATGCATACTATAAAACTACTATTTAATTAATTGCAATTAATCACCTCAGAGCCAAAAAGTCTGTCCAACAAAGCAAGGAGTAATTGAGATTAGAATTTAGGATTGCACTGGGAGTAGATTATAAACTCTTTGGGGCACCTTTGTTTTCCTATGTTGTGTTTACATTAAGAGTAATTGAGCACTGCTACCCAGGAGTGCTTCATCAGCACTGCCACCATAGCCCCCTGCACCCACAGGGAGCATAACAACACACAGCAGTCTGAAACTATTCATCTATTCACTTTGTTTACAAGTGGTATTATTATATAAAAGCAATCTACAAAATGAAACCGAGGAAATATATCTCTTCTTTGGAAGAAGTCAACTACAAAACTGCATTTAGTTGGGGTTGAGTTCTGCTCTCAATTACACTGTTGAAAATGTGCTGTCACTCTGCTGATCCCAAGCAGTTCGAGCATGGTGGTGTTATACATGATTACAATATGCCCTTTTACTATGAGCGCATTTCTTAGCCCTCTGCTTGCACAAATTCAACTGTGCTCTCTCTCTGTGAACAGCAGAACAAAATCTTACGCCTACAAAAAAAAAAAAAAAAAAAAAAAAAACCTGTTACCTTGCAACACCTTCTCCAAAATCAACAAGTTCAAATACACTGCATTATTCTTAAGACACAATTAAAGGAACTAAAAAAGTAACTGACCTCTTGCCGTTTGAAATTTTGAACGTATTCTTCAAACTGCTCATCTTTTGTTTCATCTGCTTTTCCTAGTTTTTGAAGTACCTATATTGAAAAGAAAAAGGAATAATTTAATATTTCTGTCACAAAACAAAATTGCTGCTACTTTCAATGCTTCTGTTCTTGTAGTTAGACTTAAATAGCATTTTATTTTTGGGGGTGTTGCATGCACTGCTGTTTCCAAAGTTCATATGGGAAAGCATTTTTGTCAAAATAAAAGAGGATAAAAGCAGGAGGATGGTGTGTGCATGTGTGTGGAAATATATTTCAAAGTATAGAGTCCTCCAGGGTATGTGTTTTTTTTAATGAAGCAACTTTTTTTAGCAAAGAATCACAGGGTTTCAAAGCGAGGAAGAATGAGAGAAATTTGCTGGAACTGCTAGTTGTTGTCCTTTTCAAGGAAAGAAAAAAAAAATCAAATTTCATTAGGTTTTTCTTGTTTGCGGCTCATTACATCAAACAGTATTAACATTATCCTTATCTGCATGATTTTCAACACAAAGTCATAGAGAATCAAGAACTGTAAGGCTGCATAAGAAATTGTTACAGCTGATGCTTATTTAAAACTTGTAGTCATCTTCATATTTGCTCCCCTCATGAATTCAGAAGTGGGTTGTCATGCTCTAGATAATAAATACACTGCAATATATCAGCAGTAAGGGCTGTTCATGTCATAGCAATCTCAAAAGTAATTTGACACAGCTACACTGTATACTGTACTTAACTACAATAAATGCACTCTATTAAATCGCAGCATTATCCATTCATCTTAATACTGAAGACTTACATCTGTAAAGTCTTCACCCTCCTTGTCAAGCAACCCCTGAATCATTATAGATTACTTGTATGCAGAATGAACCACCACACATAGCGATGTTCAGATTGCTCTCCCATGACAAATTGACCAAACTTTCAATTTTCACAGGAAAAAACAAAAACAAACAATTGAAAAACCCAACCAAATAGAAAAGTAGTCATTAACTGATACTATGAATAAACATGAACATCACCACCTGTTTGTCTCAAAACAAAGACTCTAACACTCCAGTCCTGCCATATTCTTTCTCCAACCACCTGCCTCTCCCAACCCCAGCCAGACCCACACCATGAAAGCAGGCTGCACAAAGGGACGGTGAGCATTGCCGCAGTGGAAACTGGGGGTCAAGATGATCATGAAGGTGATGTGATGCTACCTGTGGACCTGGCATGTGGAACTTCAAGGAAGTTTTGATGCATTTACAGCAGAAAGACAGAAAGAATGACATCAGAGGAAAACACGAAGACCAGCCTTTTGCTGCCTATAGCTATGCTTTAGCTTTTAATTTCCCCCGCTCATCTGGGCATTTTTGGGTTGCTTTTAAGCCTGCTGACTAGTCCCAAAGACCTCATACACTCTTATCACCAACCTTCTTCATAAAATATTAAAATGTATCGCATATGGTTTTACAGAGGAATTATTTAACTTAACATTTCAAATCATCACAGGCCTTCACATTGCTTCTTGTCACCAATAAACCAAACAGTCTGCCCCCAACTGTGGCACAACTTTGATCCACACCAGGCGGCTCTCTGAAAATCCAACATTTATTTTTCAAAGAGGTGGCTGCCACGTAACACTCCCAACCACAGCAATACATTCAAATCGTGTTCACAGGAACAAGCAGCAGGCATGTTAATTGTAGTCTGAGTGATTCATAACATAGGTAACAAACCACGGCAAGGAAGGTTGTCGTGATAAACTCTTTTCTCTTTCCCAAAATACCAACGGCACACATCCACATCTCGTGCGTTCAGACCCAATAGCGCAAGACTCATAAGGGAACAACCTACTTCCCACAGCACCTACCTCCTACTTCTTATGTGGAGCTTTTTTTAATCTTATCTCCAACTTTAAATTTCTCTACAGGTATTTAGCTAAACTGAGACTAACATGCAGTGTTAGAATTTGGCCTCTGCAAATACTGACCCTAATCTTGATCCAGGATTACGTTAAATAACCATTAATAACACAGCTTCTCCATTTTCCTAATCCTAACCCAAATTGGAACTACAGATATGTCACATGGTTGGAACTAGAAGGTCCAAGCCCTAGGCTTGGCATCAGCTAAAGACATTTGCTGTCACAGAAGTCCCAAAGCCTATGCCGTACACACAGATAACTGGGATTCACTCACTCGTTCCCTAAATGCAATCCTAATCCTATGCCCACAATTCTATATAGTGACAGGGGAGCAGGCGGGGGCTAGAATAAACTATTCCTCACAGGTCCCTTTAGATCCCATCCATATAGCCCCATAGACCACTGAACATGCTCAGCCTTTTATAACCAACCCATTTGTAACCACAATTTAACCGCAGGTAAACAGGTGGGTGACCAGAATGAAGGTAAGGCTACCTTTCAGCATTTATTTGTGCACTTCTGTCTCAAAGTGGAAGCCTCTTGTCAACAGAAATCTATAGTTTGTTTTTGCTCAGTTTGGTCACCACCTATTGAGAGTCTCTGGAGTAGGGTTAAGGCCAGATGAAGGTTTGTCTACACTACACACAGGTTCCTCCAACTCCTCCCGTGGACAAGCTGAAATAAATTATAGACACATTGCTCATCTTGCTATATAGAGCACCTGGATCAAGATTAGAGTCATAGTCTCATTTAGGGCTAGGGTTATGAAAAGGCAAGTAGCCTACTAGCATTAGGCTTAGATATTGGTCAAGAGAAAACAGACTTAAAACATCCAGGTTACAAGAAAGTATCTGATGGCCCTTAAAGGTAAAATGAAGGCTGTGTTCAGGAGCAGCAAGTACCTAACCTCCCCCTTAAACCTCAGTTCAACTACCCTTCTAGATAAGATTTAGATTTAGTAATAGGAATAGCTCAGTTTATGTGCCCCTGGGGACAGGAGAAGAGTAGATGGATAGTGTTTTACAAAAGTCTTGGAGTGCTCTACAAGGTGCCAAAGAAAGTAGATGGATAAATGGCTAACATTTTATTTTAGGTCCATGGGGTAGGTAACCCATATTGTGGATTTGGATTCAGGCACTATAAAAAGAAACAGCAGAGGAACCAAAGCTGTTGCTGAATATTCAGTGGCCTGTAGGGCTTGAATGAAGCCTGGACTTGGAGAAGGCAGGTGGCTAGGTTTTTTTCTTTATTTTTTTAATTAGTATGCCATACAGAGAAATGTTTGGGGTAGGGTTAAGAACATCTATCAATGTTATGAACAGTCTGTACAGTTTCAAATAAAAGAATTTTAAAATATTAAAGAAACAGACATGAACTGAATCTCAGTGTTCTACTGTCAAGTATACTGTAGTCTTCGGAAGACTGTATAAAATAGCTGGTGAACATGATCATCCTATTAAAAAAAAGATATAGGTAAAAAGCTATCCTATTTCATATAATTAGACTGAATCAGCTACCAGCAAGTTTTCTCTTAAAATGTCATTTAAAGAGGAAAAAAGAGAGAGAGAGAGAGAGAGAGAGAGAGAGAATTTGAAACAGTTACTTTAGTTTTTTTTCTTAATTTAATTGTGGTCTCCAGACATGATATTGTACAATTTGCTTAATGCACTGAATTATGTTAAAGCTCTAAAATGAATATTGGTTATTGACCCAGCATGTTTCTAAGAATATATAAACTAAATAATTACATCAAATCAGCATTGATAATGAAGTAAAAGCTACATTTGAACTGATGGTAAACTTAGATGCTGCCGAGTGAATATGTATAGAGAGGAATTGTCTGGCAATGTGGTACTGAGATAAATAAATACATAAAATGTGAGTAAGGACATTAAGAATCTATGATATCATTCATAAACATCATCAACAGTACATGTCTAGATACAAAGTACAAGAATATTTCCATTTGGGGATGCTGTATCTTCAGTAAACCTTTTGGAAAATGCAAGACTAAACAGTTCCCCTTCAGTCTTCTAAGTGCTTTCATTTACAAAGTAATATATTTCAGTTCTATGAGGATCTGAAGTGTTAGGAAGAAAAGTCAGTACTTTGCCGATCTTGAATTAAAATGGTCAGTAATACAATGTGATGTGAATGTTCTTAAGTGTCTTCAAAGTGCCAAAGAAAGGAAACTAATATAATAGAAAAAATTTACAGATGAGCTAGAGTAAGCTTGATTATACCAAAAACTCTTGTCTTGTGGCAAGGATGACCGTGTTACTATAGTTGCTGAGAATACCACTCTGACAGGCATACCCATCCTCCCATAAAAAAGTTTCCAAGAAGATGGAAATTCAAGGAAAGAAAAAAAAAACCTAAATCTTTGACATAAACTATGGCCACTCAGGAGCTGGCTCAAGAGCAGCTCAGGTCTCTGCACAGCAGCAGCAGGGTGGATAGGAGTTGACCGTAGCCTCATCAGACATCCCAACATGCATCATCCCAAGTCACGCATCAACATTCTTAAAGAACCACCAACATGTTCAAAACCACTCAGAGCAGGAAGACACAACTGCTGAGACAGGACTACCCAGGACAAGACTTTATAAGAAATTCCCAGGACTGTTAAAACACTGAAAAAGCAAAACTAATCTAACTCACCACAAGTAGCATTATTTAAGCATATTACAGAATAACCCCAGTATGAAGAGCAAGACAAACACTTGTGAGGGTCCAAAACTGTCACGGACTCACTGCCCAAAGTCTTTTGAGAATAGCAAAGTGCTCCAGATCTCAACAGATGCAAACTCATGCATCTAAAATACTGTTCCACAACACTGTTTTTCTAATACCATACACTTCTACAACCTGTAAAAGCAATACTAGGGCTGCATGACTAACATTTGCAGCTTTCCAAAGGAGTTTCAAGATGGTACTTCTGAGCAGAAATTGGTTGAAATGAAGGCAGACCATTCAGGAGAAATCATTTTAGAGTCACCTATGTGCAAAATGACATAGGCATTTTAGCAAATACTCACAAAACTGAAAGAAGTATTTGATCAACATAACATAGAAGCTTTGAAAGACGCTTTTTATGATGCATGACAAGAATGCTTACCTG